CCAACCAAAACTGAGAACCACTGATAGAAATAAGAGGGAAAAAATCATTATTTTAAAGGCACCAATTATGTACCAGGTGTTTTGCATATGTTAGTTCATTTATTCCTAACTCAGAGAAGATTTCTAAAATCACACAACTGGAAAGCAGCAAAGTCCAACTCAATATCCAGGTCATTTTGATTCCCAAGGCATGCTTTTATCACAGGAACAGATGATTTCCTGAAAGCTATCTGCAAAGCATAAATTTAGTAAAGATTAAATACAGAGACACCTATTAAGAACCTAACACAGAGGAACATCTCTGAGTGTATCTCTCAGTCTATTTTCCCAAAATGCTCCTTTGGCTCAGGCTGTGCCATGACACAAAGGCTCTAAGTCAGAGAACTTTATGTTAATTCCAGCAATTATGCAGTTACAGTACCTGCTGGATGTACTATGCTATGTTAGAATTTTAATGTATGAGAATAAATCTCATGGACCATAAATTGATGAAATACATCACTGAATATATGTCCTACCCATTATGTGCATTTTAAGGGTCTCTTAAATTATATATTTTAATGTTATGTGGCCGTTACTTTTCTTTCCTGCCATGGGATAAACGAGGAGTCTCCACCTAACTGATAGGAAAGTTGTTGTGGGTGGTATTGTCCTGCAATGCTATGGAAACCTGATATAATCGGACATCCACCAGTCTATCCACTCAACCATCCATTCATCTATCCATTTCCTTTACAAAACAGCAGTAGGAGACAATGCCCTAGTAATTCTAAGATTCACACTCTCATCCAGTCTATTTGTGAGAGCCATGAGTCATTAATTTTTTTTCTGAATTAGTGGTATTCAGTCAAACAGGGTGTGGATGGAGCAGAGGCTTAGGCAAGATGATTCCTCAGAGAGGACCCATGCTGGCATCTGCCCAGGAAGTGTAGCAGTGATTTGTTAGGGTGTCTCTCCATGCTGACAGGCACTAGAGGAGTAATAGTAACATTTATAGCAGTCGGTTAGGCTAGGTATTGTTGTAGAGCAGTGGTGGTGAACCTACCGGGTGGGTGCCACAGAAGGTTATTTGTGTCACTGAATCTCAAAAAGCTTCGCCATTACTGTCTTGGATGTCCTCTAGTGAAGACTGGACCCAGAGTCCAGTGTCTATGTTGAGTGGTCTATAGTTGAAACTCCGTATCTATAGGTTCCACATCAACAGGTTCGAACAACCAAAAAAAAAAAAAAAAAAAAAAAAGTTTTTAAATACATCTTGTCCTAAACATATATAGATGTTTTCTTTGTCATTATTTCCTTAAAAACCTAGTACAACAATTATTTACACATAAGTAATACAAATTATATGTAAATACTCTACCATTGTGTATGAAGGAGAAAGCACCTCTGGAGTTTGGTTTCAGAGGTGTTCAGGAACGGAGCCCCTGATGCCACCAAAGGCTGCCAGTATCTTGGGAGCCATCAGTGGGCTGAGAGATCGTCACTGAGGACTGAGGAGTGAGGGTTCTGTGTCAGTCTCAGAGAGGGGAATGAAACGTGGCCAGCCCAGTACATGCCCCTGTCCTGCCTATCGCCCAGTTTCTCCAAATCACTGTTCACCAACCTCCATCTGAGAGGGAAAGAAACACAAAGAGATGGAGATAGTCTTGTCTGAGTGCTGGCTGTGTGCCCAACATGGTTTTCAGTTCTTTGTACACGCTACCTTAGAGAGGCTCAGCACTTGCCCGTGGCTCACTGCTCTAACAGGTAGGACCGGATGGGGACCAGGCGGTGTGACTGCACAGTCTGTGCCCTGAGCATGGGCTAAGGCAGCCACCAGATGTTATCACATTGAGGACATGCAGTGCCAGGGTCTTCATTCTCTCACTTTCTATGTATTTTAAGAAATTTCTAGTAGAGATTTTTGGCAGAATATAATTGATATAACCTAAGAGTGGTTTCTCATCAGGGAAAAGTAGGTGGCCGTCGAATGAGAAAGCAAATTCTATAGAAAGCTCATTTTGCATTTGTTCCTATCAGTCTTGGTCTGGATCCTTGTCTGAATACTGTGCCCATATTGTTGAGGGGAGGAAGTCATGCTCACTTATTCCAAATCTCTAATATCTGGACAGGTTAACACTATCAACTTTTATGTGTCTACTCCATAAACAGCCAAGGCAATTCTGCAGCAGGTGGTAGGGGACAAGGACTCTGTTCAAATGCAGAATTCAGGGGCTTTATTTTTTCTCAAAACAGGGATTCTGAGGATATTTGTTCTTTGACATTGAGGTGGCCAAGGAATAGCATGTGGCACATGGGAATAGGTCTCACTGTTGTCTTTAGAGGAGGCGTGAGTACAGGTTCTTGCTATGTAACGTAGGCTGATCTCAAACCTACAATCATTCTGTCTCAGCCTCCCAATGGCAGTATAGATATATGCCACCATGCCCATGCCTGGATTTTAAAAGTTGGTTTTATTTTGGATTTATGGTGGAGTTTTTTGGATAAGCAAGGTTTTAGGGGCCAGGACTGTGAGTTATGCTCATGATTTCTCATGTTCTATCAGCTGGAACTCAGTCATATGGCCACCACCCAGAGCAATGAAGGCTAGCAGATGTACCCAGCTCTGTGTCCAAGAAGAAAAATGAATTTTTTTACCCTTTATTTTTCTTTGTTTTGTTGTTGTTCTATGTCCTATAGCAGAGGGCTGAGAGTTCCCAATGGAAAAAGAATAAGAAGTAGACTCTCTTGGCATGAGCCCTGCACTTTGCTAATTCTAAGTACAAAAACAGTAATATTTCATTTTTATTGTGCTCTTACCATGTACCAAACTGTACTGCATCTTTACCTACACAGCTGCACTTAATCGTGTAGCAGATTTACCCGTGGGTTTTGAAGCATATCAGTTTTTTGTTGCAGTATTATACAGTCCTAGTCTTCTAAAGGTAATAGGCAGATTGTAGGCTGGGCTCCTGTAGGTCCATTCACCACCCCTCTTTTCCTCTTTGGGCATCCGAGAGATTGACTGACAGGCTTCCATCTGGCTTCTGATTGGACTGGCCGATGGGAAGTACCAGCAGGAGACACAGTTGAGTCTGTTAGTGCTTCAAGCTCCTGAATGGTTTGACAGTGATCTTGACCTTATCTGTGTCACATAGCAGCCATTCTCTCCTGGTTACAGATCTTACCAAGTTCCCAAAGAAGTCAGGTCCAGGTAGATCATGGCTTCCTACTGAAGCCTCACCAATGCTGACTGTTCCTTTACCTTTCCCACACCTCTGTCAAGAGTTTCTTCCATGGACTCTCCTCAGTTACCCCTTGGAGAGTGCCATCTCTTTGCCACAAGTTCCTGACCAGTTCTACAAAGTGTTGGAGAACTTAACATCGCTAAAGAAAAATACTGTGTTTATTGTGATATCTTCTTTGAGGTCAGGAAAACCTAGCTATCTAGTCCAATTTGGTCACTTGTTATATGATCTTAAACCACATACTTAGCCAATTGGAGCTATATTTTATTCATAAAACAAAAGATTACAGTTTGTGAGGATTAAAAGAAATAACATGCCAGATGTGGTAGTGAGCATCTATAATCTCAGCACCCTGGGAAACTGAGGCAGGAGAGTGCTAGTTTGAACCTGTCCTGGGCAATTAAACAACCACTGAGATTTAGTTCCAAGATAAAAAAGCCTGAGGATACAACTCAGTATGAAAGCCCTACCGTACTACAGAAAAAAATAATAAATAAGTTAGCACGGCCAGTGTTGAGAACATAATAAGCTATGAATAGAACTGGAATGGCAAGTGATGTTATAGAAAGTTATTCAAACTGAATAATTATATTATTAAATTTATCTGTATAATATTACCTATTGATCTGACAGATATATTTTCAAAAGTGACAGTTCCTAGTACATACAATGATGTGATGGTCAGGGACACAAATAAAAGTATAAAATCTGATAAAATCTTTCTGAAGGACATTTTATCTGTGAGTATGCAAAGTGTAAAAATATGTGCATTCTTTCTGATTCAGCAAATCACAGTGGAAAATAAGGAAATAATCAAAGATGCAGCTTTAAACGTGTTCACTCTAGTTGTTTATAATAGTTAAAATTGGAAATAACAAACATCTGATAATACAGAATTTTAAAACTTTGGAAAGCCCATACAAGTAGATGAATATGATTGATAAAATATAGTTGAATTCAGTTACAAAAAAGTATTTCTATTCCATATTTTTATAAAACAATAAAAAGAAGAATTATTAATGGAATACATGCTCCCACAGCAATGCTGGTTATTTCTTGATGGCTGTAATAAAGGTGAAATTTGCCTCTGTCTTGTTTTTTTTCTCTGTGCTTTTAAACTTTTCTGCAATGAACACAGTACACATAAGCTTGCCCTTGGCTGTAGATAAAAAACTCCAAACTATAGTGATTCAGTACCAACATCTGAAGTTTTTCTTGACTTCTTATGGCCTTAATGTGGCCCTTCTCTCCAGGTTATCACATATGCAGTTTAAGAGAGGAGAAAAAGAGGCAGGCAGGACTGGACAAGGGCAGGAGGGTCGCTGTGAGTCTGGGTCTGACCTGGGCCACATAGTGAGAGCCTGTCTAAATGAATAAATAACAAGGACAGGAGCTCCATGGTGGACTTACGCCCAGTTGCACAGATTTGTGTCACGTGACCGTTGGTAGCTGAAAAGGGAGGAGAGGAGTCTGGGAAATGGTGCTGAGTCAACCACTTTGCAAAGTCAGCCATAAAGAGGCATAGCTTTTATGCTTAAAAAAAAAAAATCAGAGTTTCTGAAATTTTGAAACGACTTGTTTCTTTTTTTTCTGCACTCCTTTAATGCTTCACTCCCTCCAGGCACTTTCCACCCACTCGAGCAAACTCACACTCCTGGAGCCAAGAGGGTGAAGCAGAATGAAGAAACCAGAGCTGAGGCTGCACCCTCCTAGCGGTGGGAGGGGAGAGATGGGCTGCCTGCCAGAAGACTGGGAAAGGGTCAGGCTGGCTTGTTCAGTCGACCTTAGCTGGTCTCTCTGGTCTGAGATTCAGGCTCTGAAATCTTATCAGCACAGACTTTTGCAACCTCTGTATTTTTCTGGCCTTGTTCTTATTTTCTAGACTGTGCAGTCCTGGCCCTGGAATTTCCCCCTCTTGCTCTGGTCTCAAGGGGCCTTCCCAAAATAACAGCATGCCCATGAGACCGGAGGGCGCAGTGGACTGGACTGTCCTGGCTGGCTGCTTCCTTCTCTGTGTCCCTGGACCACTTCCTCTGAGTTTCTGCTTCCTCCGCTGCAAAATGGAAGTTGTGAGAGCCCACATTTCTTAGGGTTGTTATGAAAGCTCGGATGGATCAGTGTTTGTCAAGTGCTTAGGAGAAGCCTATCACATAGTAAGTTCTATGAAAGTATTTATTTAATAAATAGATATGAGAAAAGCAGAAACAGCCATAAGATGTCTGGGCTTTGCTTGATGTTGCTGACTTGACATAAAGCTACAAAGAAGGGCTGAATTTTCATTTGTTTGTTTTTTTTTTTTTTTTTTTTGTTCCCTGCAGGCTGTACTACATGGTCTGAATGGTATGGAGAAAGGAGAATGCACAGGCACTAAGACTTGTAAAGCACCGACTAGTCAGCAGATTCCCTAATCACGTTATACCCAGCACCTTGTGTGAGGCTCAGAAAGCAAGTAGGTCACTGCCCTCCTTTTACAGGTGGGAAAGACCATAGCTCAGAGGGATAAAATAACTGACCACGGTCCTATCCCTATGGATGGTAGAGCAGAGACTCAGTCCAGGATTGTGTGACTCCAAAGCCTGAACTGTCCATATTAAGAATGATGTGGCTAGGTGTGGCAGCATGTGTCTGAAATCCCAGCTTTCTGGGAGGCCGAGGCAGGAAGATTTCAAGTTTGAATCCATCATAGATAATTTAGTGAGTTAGCAACACCTTGTCTCAAAATTTTTATTTAAAAAAAGGGCTGAAGATAGCTCAGTGAGAAGGCCTGGGGTTTGGTTCCCAATCCTGGAAAAAAAAAAAAAAGATGCCACTAGAAAGACTTCACTTAATTTGATTCTAAAAGCTTAACATACCTCTCAATCTCTAGTTTAAAAACAGTTAAGATTTCACTTAAAGGTCTTGGTAACAAATCCTTCTATGAAATAACTCGTTTCTCTATATTTAGTTTGACAAGTTTAAATTTGCACATATTGTGTTTTCTTACAATATGGTGCATCTTTATTGTTCAAAAAATAAACTCTAGGTCTAGAATCTAGCTGAAATGCTGGAAGTTGTGGATCTTTCTTTGTGTTCTGAAATTGCCAGAATTCTATAGTAGCTCCACTTTTTGCCACCAATAGGTGTTTGTTACCCACCCTACCGTACTATCTTGAAGCTGCAGCCAACTTTCAGCCAGGTGAAATCATCAATAATTAACACCAAGAATATCTCCTGGGTCCAAATTCCTCCCTAGCTACAACAGAGCTCCTTTCTGCTCTCTGGTCTGTCGTTGCCACCTTTGTAAATGCCAGTTCCAAAGAAAGAGAACCGACCATGATTGCTCAACTTTTTTTATTAATGACTCTGATCATGTTTGAGCAAAATAGACATGTTCAAGGAGAGTTTCCTGTTCTTTTCCTTTAAGAAAAAAAAAAAGGAAGACAGAAATCACTAAACCCCACCCTACCCCACCCTTAGCCTCTAACTGTTCTGGAGTCTGTGGTGCCTGAGATAAAGCCAAGATAAAAAGAATTGAAAATAAAATAAATTTTAAAACTACTTTTGTTCCCAGCTCACACACTCTTCCACCCCCAGTTGCAGATCCCCAGAGGATCTGACCAGCCAGTCACCTGGCCTTACCAGGGAGTGTCCTTGGCCCTGGGCCTGTCATTGGTCAGCTTCCAGCTCTAAGGCAAGGATATTAAGCCTTTCAGAAGATGACATGCGCTGACCTGCAGCAGCAGCCCCCAACTTCTTACTCTTAATGTTTCCCCTTTTATACTTTTGGCTTCGTGATAGTTCCCATCTTTCTGCAAGGGTGTTAGGGGGTGCAAATAGCTCAGAAGTAACTGCAAGGAAGCTCTGTAGTGCATATCTTGTAGGTGGGACACCGGTAGGGAGGAGAGACCAAAGAGAGATTAGGTAAAACATTAGCCACAGCCTTTTGGAGTCAGTCCAGTGTCTTTCAATGATTTCTTTATGTGCTTTGGGTGCTGGGTTTATTTGGCATGGGACATGCACCCATTAGAAGTTTTCACAAGGATTTGCCACGTTGCAGTTCTAAACGTGTGAACTCCTCACCAAAGGATATTTGGGTTTTTATCCCAAGAGAGCTACAGGGAAAAGCACTCCAAGCAAATGAATCCAAATCACTAGGTAATGCTCTAAAAATAATACATGTTGTTATTATCTGGATCTCTTTCAAGTTTGAGCTCATTTTGTGAGCTTGAAAATCCATATGTCAAATTGCATGTGTATTACTTTTTATTAGAGGAGAAGTGGACTACTGCATAGAGACAGGTAAGTTGTTAAAACACACAATGTGGTGACTCTCAGGATACCTGACTGGATTTCAGCTAAGTTAATTAAGCAACTTGGCCAAGGTGGGTAGAGTCCATGTTTCCCTGACTTGTCTCAATAAGCCAGCCTTGCAAAGTGGGGTAGGCAACAGGCCCAGATCTCCAGAAATAAGACATGAGGAAATCAAGGTACAGAGTTACTTAGTATCATAACAAAAAGGAAATATATGTTATTTCTTCTTGTGCTACCCTAACCTTTTTTTTTTGTTTGTTTGTTCTTTTTTGAGATGGGGTCTCGCTATGCAGTTCAGGCTGGCCTTGAGCTCACTGGTCTTGAACTCGCAACGATCCTCCCACCTCAGCCTCCTGAGTGCTGGGATTACAGGTGTGAGCCACCACACCCGGCATCCCTAACCTATTAAAAGATGTATTATTCCTACAGAAAGGTAAAAGAACTGGAAAATACTGAAGGCAAATTCTGAAAAGTTAGTAGATAATAACAACAAAAACAGATACTATTATTAACATGTTTTCAAAATACCTTCTGGGAGATGAACTTCAAAAAATGTTTTATATGGAAAGAATCCTGTAAATTGGGTTTTTGCCTCTCAGAGTCTGCATGCATCACTGGAATGAGCCTGGATAAACTTCAAGGGGAGACTAAGAGAAAAATCTGTAGTGGGAAAAAGCAAAGTGGTGGCAATTGGGTATACTCTCTTAACACAGTTCTCTGGTTTCTAATTGGCTTTCCTGTTGATGATGCCCTCCAAATATCCATGATTCAGCCACTTAAAGATCTGTATACAAATCTCACAGATCCCTGGATGATCATTCATTCATGTTAGGGAAGGGTATTAGGTCAACATGATTGTTACAAAGCAAACAAATAAACAAAAAATAGCAGGAACTCTCCTGGCTACATTGTACATGTTACTTTGATTTCTAAGCCTCATTCTTTTGTTATTGGGCTAAATCACCAGGATATTTCCCATCTAAGAAACCTCATCTGGCCTGAGACCGCTCCTTCAATAATTCCCATGTCTTTATTCTCAAAAGGTTGATTGCAGTGTTGCTAATCCAGCCTTCGTTAGCCAGCCTCCATTAATCATGGCTGGCAGGAGACACCAGAGGGTCATGGGTAATTGAATTCCAGCCAACCTTCAGACCTAATTCAGATCAACCCTTTGACCTCTTTCCTGACCAAATCTGCTGCCAGAGCTAGTCAATAAATACTGTTTTTAAATTCAAAGAAACCTTTTGCAAGTGCCTACTACGCATTAGCTTTGTGAAAGATGTATCCATTATCTCACTTCCTTCATTCATTCTGTCCACACTTCCCTGGAACCCAGACACAAGGAATTAGCAGATAGTGGAGAGAACAGTAAGGGTCATCTCGAGGTCAGTGGAGGAGGCAGACGTGTGCTTTCCAGACATCCTGACTTCCCATCATTGCAGAGATAGATCTTCAGCATCCACAGAGAGCCTGAAGCCCTCTCCAGACAGGAAAATGGATGAGAAGCATTACCCTTGCTCTCAAGGTGAAGCTGTGCTGTTTTTGAATTCCAAAGACTCCCATTCAGGCTCTCGCTGTACCATATTAGGCGCAGGTATCAGGTATGTTATGTTGCTTTTGTGGGTCTCGGTACAGATTTGTGATGTGGAGCACAAGTGGGTGTTGGACGAGAGGTGGTTACACCACTAACCTGGCAGGAATCTGGGGAGAATTTGGAGACTGAGATAATGGGCTGGAAAGCTCTTGGTAAATTTAAGACTGCTTACACCTCCGAGATGATTCCACACCCTCTCTGTTAAAACTTCAACCAGCAGTCAAAACTGTGAACAAAGATTGGGGAACAAAGATTTAGACAAACAGTGCACACTCTTATTGTAAAGAAGTTTGGGTGGGATGTAGAGGATATTCTTTATTTTGTTTAGCGAGTCTCAGGATCACCTTTATGCCATGGAGCTTACACATGACCTGGATTTTGATGGTAGAATGCTTTCACAGCATTTTATAGTTTGTAGAAAACATAGTCCTTCTTCCTTCAAGATGAGGCCATAGCATGCTTCACTTCTTATTTCTCATCTTCAGACAGTTCAAAACCAGCTCACCAGTGACCACTGGTGATCAACTATCTCCAGCCTTTCAACTCATAATGACGATAGTGCTGAATTGCTACCAATAATATTCTTGGCCGAACTATTTTTTTTTAAGGAAGGATGAGCCTAGATTTTACAGAGGTTTGCTCAGGGGGAAAAAATGTGCTTGAATAATTTACTTTCTCATTCTAATTCCAAAATGACACTAGGCCCCTAAGATGTAGCAAGCAGTCTGGGGTCCCTGAGTAGCGTAGAAGACTGTATTTAACTGGTAATGTTAATGGCATTATCCCTAGCTTCTGGATAAGTATCTGTTGCCCAGAGATAATTACCCAGGCAAAGATGAGGTATCATGAAAGATAAATACTAAAGCAGAGACCTCACTGTTTGCCTTGCTGCAGTGTAATCTGCCACTATTTAACTTCATTAGCTTCCCGGCTATCCTGAGGCCACACAATTTCACTTAAAAGACAGAAATTAAATAACCCAAACCCACATGTAATTGTAAACAAAGTTGCTGGAGATGTGGATTTGGATGTTTTCATTGCTATAGTTGGTGAGAAACAAGTGTTTTCTTTTACCTTATCTTTTCTTCTCTCTTAGGATAATGAGAGCAACATACAGTGAATATTCACGGTGGGCCATACCTTGTAGGATGTCTTTCATATACATTGTTCTATTTATTTCTATATGTGAGGCAATGAATTGACTATTAGTAGGGGAAATTGTGTGTCAGAGAGGTGAAGTAATTTGTCCTCAAGGTCAAATGACTCATGAGCTATGCAGCGAGGGTTTCAACCCTGGTAGATTGGCCCCAGCTGTTTCCAGAAAATCATGAGACCACACAAATGCCAACATCTCCAGTCTAGACCCTATCAAGTGAAGGCAATTTTATTGCCTCCACAGCTGCCAGTGCTATCTTTATTGAAATGACTGCCAAATCTCCCATCCGGTTCTTGGTTCAGTTTTGTATTTCTATTTTATTGAGAAAGTATTTGCATTCAACACCGTGTGGTCAAGATGAGGCTTTTGAACTCATCCCTGAAGGCTTTTATGTTGAACTGGTTCCCAGTCCCCTTGGCCAATCTGTAAGTAATCACTGTCTCCCCTATCTTATCATCATAAAAACTACATGCAGAAAAACCTAAAACAGTATTTCAGTGCACATCTGTCTAGCCTCCACCACACTTAACAATTGTTAACAGTCTCCCAGGTTTAGTTTAGGAACCAATCAATCTTCTTATCTATTTTTCTTTTTGAACCATTCGAATGTTCTTTTCAGGACTCATGTCACTGCAGATTTAAATGCTTCAGTATGTGTCTCCTAAAAATAGAAGACGTTCCCTATGTGACCACATGACTGTTACATCAGGCCTGAGAAAATTAACATCAGTCTATCATCTACTAGCCAGTATAATCCCAGTACTTTCTTAACTATTCTCCAATTGTCTTTCATAGCTAATTAGTTTTTTTAAACTAACTGTGCATAGTGGATTGATAGTAACATCTCTAGGTGTTTTAAAACTAGAAGCTCCTAGAAGAGTCTAGTTTTTGGATAGCTCAGTTGTTTTCTACTCCTAAAGAGTTCCTGGGATCAACTCTGGGCTGGCCCTATGCAGGATTGATGCCAAAATTTCTATAGGGAGGAACTTGGGAGGAGCGATCTATTACCAAGAGTAGGAGTAGGAGGTGATTTGCATAACAAAAGCTTAACAAGCTGAGGTTGTTAATTTATTTGCCCTGGATGCTGCCCTGGGGCTACATTTTCTATAGAAGAGGTGATAAATTGTACAGGTGAGTTCTAGGTTCAAAACTTAGCTTTGCTTCTTCCAAGCTGTGTGACCTTGAAAAAGTTAATCTTTCTGTTACTTAATTTTATCATTTGTACAATGGTGATGTATTGATAATGAAATACAATTCACAGAGGTATACTGTAATGAATTGATATACACAAAGCTGTGAGAAGCCTATCAGGAAAAGAATAAGGTCCACCTATGGCAGCCAGTATCAGTATGTATATTTTTCTCCCACTGTCTATCAACTTCTTCCCCAGTCACTTTCTGGAACTGAAGCCTCTAACGTTTCTGGCTGCCTGATAGCTTTCCATCTTGTTCTTTACTTCATGTTCAATTTATTCTAGTCGGACAGGGAACTTCTGGTTTACCTTCATAGTCATTCCCTTTCCACTCTCTAATCTATTTTTTTTCACAGCCCAATTCTTTTTTTTTTTTTTCCTGGTACCGGAAATTGAACTCTGGACCTTGTACTTGCCAGGCAGGCACCGTGCCACTGAGCTATATCCCTGGCCCTATACAGGCCAATTCTTTAAAAAAAAAAAAAAAAAAAAGTACTCATTTGATTCTACTTCCTTCTGCTGGATTGTATATCTGGTTCAGCTTCTTCCCTTTGCACAGAAAGACAATAGACTCATCCTTTGGTTTAAAATGAAAAATGTGTTGTTTCTAATCTTGAAACACCTTTCTGCTTGAGTGGCCCTTGAATTTTCTTGGCGCCCCCATCCATCCATTCACCCACCGTCTCATCCATCCAGGTAGTCACTGATACTCTTCTGAGCCCCATAAGTAACTGGGTACCAGCTAGGCACTGGAGATACAGCAGTGAACCAGACATGGTCTTACCTGTGTAAAAATAACCAATTACTCAGAGTGAATCTACGCTGCAGTTACAAACCAGTCAAACCAGATAGTTCTAGAATCTCCCTGTACCCTGACCAGATCTGAGAATATGAGAGAGTGACTGAAGGGGATGTTAAGAGATCACTTTCTGCAAAAGACTATTTCCTATTGTGAAATTCTTCTTATTATTAGAGCACCACTGGAGCAGATAGTATCATTTCCTACTTTCCCACAAGTCCTTGAAACATTTCTAGAATCACTTGAAGTATAGCTAAAACTGACTATTCTATTTCCACAAAAGTACATGTATTAGGCTAACTGTTACCTGACAAAGTTCTTCATTTGAAGAAAGGAGACAATAATAGTAGTCATTATATAAGGCTGTTATAAACATAAAATGAATTACTATAAGTCAAATGCTTGAACTGCATCATGGACATATGTGTTTGATAAAGAAACAAAAATAAGGTTTTGAGAGATTACAATGGAATCAGCCATAAGAGAATAAGACTCAGAGCAGGTGAGCTTTGAGAGGGGTAAGGAAGGAAAGATAGGCCTGATTTAGGCAGCCAGTGAGACAGAACCACTTGAAAAAAATGTGGAAAGAACAAAGAGGAAGTCAAAGATTAACTTTGACTAATTCGTAATTTAAAACAAAAAAAAAAATTGACCTCATTTACTTCCTTTACTCTGAGTTCTGTACTCTGAGCAACCACTTTCAGAACAAACACATCATCATTTAGTGTGTACTGGCTAGGAAACTTGATGAGGGACAATTTTCCATGCGTTTCTGGTTCTGTGTATCTTGTGGACACCTTTGTTCTGGAGTATCTTTTCAAGAGTGTTTGTATAGTGAACCACTTTGGGAGAGAGAGAGGTAGTCTCTCCCTCCAGAGTAAGGGGTAGAATGTTTACTGCATTATAAAAAGCTCAGATTTCCTAAGTTCAGTTTCTCTCTGTAGTCAGTCTCCCTGGGGGTAAAGGAGTCACCTGGCCCTTTTCTTATAACCTTGCAGGAACTGGGGTTCCGAAAACTGACAAATGCTTATACTCTGACCGATGCCATTGCTGTAAGTTATAAGCTATGTTTCATCTCTCACTGGAGTCTCATGTCTTCTTTTTTATCCAGAAAATTGAGGCAGAATAATGTGTTAACTTGCAAGTTAGGGTAAAAATCTCAGCCTGTTCACAGTTCCTGACCAGTGTTATAGTCTTGTTCTCTCTCACTCTGCCAGCTCCTTGCTGGGGCAGTGCAGCTCTTTGAGAATGAGAATGGTCATGTTCTATACCACATGATCCTGCTAAGTGGACAAGGGAAAGCACACAAACCAAAGGCAACATATAGGCCAGTGCTGGCAAACCTATGGCGCGTGTGCCACAGAGGGCTGTTATCACTGAAAGCTCTAAAAGTTTCATCTTCACTGATAGAACCTTTTAACTTGAATGTGCTTTTTTCTTTTAACTAGTGGTCCATGAATTTGTCCAAACTTTTAACTAGTGGTCCATGAATTTGTCCAACATGCAAGCTTTGCCCAGTGGTGGCAAGCCTGATTTACTGGACCAATCACATCCTCTGTCTCAGGAATTTGAATTCATGTAACACAGAACCTGTCTGGAGCAACCGGGAATGATCCACAGGGGCAGAAGCAAACAGTAGCTGAGCCTGATGAACAATTAAGCTTTGGACTAACAAGGAATCTCTCTACCAGCAGAAGGACAAAGAGAAAATCTTTGGGAAAACCTCCCTCTAACCCGGACTGTGGTATAGTCTCCCTGAGCCTTGACCTCAAGCTTGTTCTTCCTCCTGCCTTCCTCCTCATGACACTTGACCGCTCAACAATTGCCATTTACTTTAAAACCTGCCAAAGAAACTGAAAGAGGGGCCTATTTCCCTTAAATGCTTGTCTTCCCAAAAAATAAAGAAATGGAGAAGGACTTACAATCAAGTAGTGCAGTTATTACTGCCTCTCTCATCATTCCTTTTCTTTCTTACTCAGCCAGCTCACCATCTAGAAAAGGACCCCTGTTCATTTCTCCTATCTAGATCTCCGCCTCGCCCTCTCTTCCCCCAGTTCTTCCACAATTCAGATCCATGTGCCATTTGAACAAGAATAACAGGTTGTACACTTGATCTCCTGCCAAATGGGCCCACTTGTGACCAACGACGGAGAGAAAAGAAAGCACAAGAGAACTTTTCCTCGGGGATTCCTGCTCCCTTTCTAGCTTTAAAAAATTCCTCTATTTACTCCCCAGTGGGGGTAGATTTATGTGTCCATTTTCTGTCCTTTCCTCTTTTCTTTTTCACCCTGTTCCCTCTCTGTGTCATCCCTGGTCTTCTTGAACACTTCCTCCTGCCTTCTTCACTAATGAGGATTGAATACCTCCCACATTGGCCCAGGAATGGCTCATGATGTGCATTGGATCACTGCAAATTCTAGATTCCTTCACACCACATCTTTTTTTCAGGATCATCCTAACCCTTCTGTCCCATACTGCAACTTTCACTCCCAAGGTACTTGTGGGAAGAGTCTAGAAGAAGAAAAAAGCACATTCAACAGCAGTTTTATTATCTAAATCATGGGCTTCTCCTCCTTGAGCATTTAATCTTTTTACAAAACTATCTGTCATCAACATCCAGCACAGACTGCACAGCATTTGAGGGTGATATGAACACATGGCTGTGGCAAAAATACATCTTTTTAAACTAGTGTGGTTGTTGCAATATGAGTCAGTTGAGTGAGATGGGGTGGAGCGGGGGTGACAACTAGAGGCCCACACATGTGGCAAACTCTCAGACAGATGAAAGCGAGAGGATGCAGACCTGGTATGGGAAGATGACATTCTCAGTGTCAAGCAGCAAGGTTGATAAGGTCTCTGAACTATTAGTAAGCCTCAGCCCACATAAAGATCAGGAAAATAAGCAGTGTCATTTTACCCTAAGAAGAAATTAGACAGTTTCTACAATCAAATGATAATACTGACACAATATACCAGAACTTACAGGACACAATGAAAGCAGTCCTCGGAAGGAAGTTTATAGCAGTGAACTTTCATATGAGGAAAACAGAGTGAGCTGAAATAAACAATCTAATTCTAAACCTCAGACTTCTAGAAAAAGAAAAACAAGTCAACCCCACAGCTCATACAAGGGAGGAAATGATAAAGATCAGAGAAAAATTAATGCGATTGAGACTAGGAAAACAATACCAAAAAAAATCAATGAATCAAACAGTTGGTTCTTTGAAAGATTAAATAAAATCGACAAACCCTTAGCCAATCTTATCAAAAAAGGAAAGAAAAGGCTCAAATTCATGTAATTAGAAATGAAAAGGGTGAAATCACAATGAGTTGTACAGAAATCTGAAAGATTGTCAATGCTTATTTTGGGAGCCTATAATCTAATAAGATGGAAAACACAGAACAAATGGATAGGTACCTAGATATATATGAATTACAAAAGCTGAATCAAGAAGGTACAAATTTAGCTCAGTGGCATAAGCACTTGCCTTGCAAGCAGGCAGTTGTGAGTTCAATCCCCGGTACCGATAAAAAGGAAAAAGACAAAAAAAAAAAATCTACATAATCCAATATCAATCAATTAAATTGAAGATGTAGTTTAAAACTTACCAACAAAGATGGATTGATGGATTAAATGCTGAATTCTACAAGACATTTAGAGAAGATCTAATGCCATTACTTCTCATACTCTCTAATAAAATTAGAAAGGGAGCAATTCTCCCAAACTCATTCCTGATACCAAAACTGAGAAGGATTCAACCAAAAAAGGAAACTACAGATCAATCACTTGTGACAAAATCCTCAATAAGATAGTGATAAATAGAATACAGCATAGCATCAAGAAGATTATATACCATGACCAAATAAGATTTGTTCCAGGGATGTAGGGATGGTTCAACATAAGCAAATCAGTAATACACTATATTAACTAAACCAAAGACAAAAACCATATTGTCATCTCAATAGGAGGAAAAAAAGCATTTTAAAAAGCCCAATATCCATTAATAAAATTAGAATAGGTGGTCTTTGCTAGGGTTATTTCCAAAAGATGAAAAATATTAACAAAAGATGATAAATATAAAATAAAAAGCGGCCTTTATTCTGAGAACACGTCCAGCAATCTCTCCGGCCGACACGTGGCGTGGGGGCCTGTAAATAGCCTCAGTTTGGGGGGAATCTAAGGCGGGCATTAGGGATACACAGGTAGCCCATTGGTCCTAGGTTTGGCGCCATATGTAAATTTCCAGGGGCGGGAAGATGGCGTCACAGGTAACCTCCTAGGGGCAGGGGAGATGGGGCTTCCTGCTTCCGGTTGTGGCTTTCCTGGCTACAGTGTTCTGTCTGGGCCAAAACCCTTTCAGTCTTTATCTCAATTGGATAAAAGTCTATGACAAAATAACAGCCAGCATCATACTAAATGGTCAAAAACTGAAAGCTTTCACTCTAAAATCAGGAACAAGAGAAGGAAGTCTGCTATCAGCACTTACATTTGATATAGTTCTGGAAACATTAGCCAGAACAATTAGACAAGAGGAAAAAATAAAAGGAATAAAGATAAGAACTTAAATTATCATTATTTGCAGATAGCTTGATATGCTACATAGAAGACTCCAAAAACTCCACAAAAAGACTTCCAGATTTAATAATCAAATTCAGTAGCATAGCTGGGTACAAAATCAATACACTAAAATATCAATAGCATTCCTGTACATAAATAACAAACTCACTGAGAAAGAAATTAGGGAAACCACACCTTTCACATTAGCATCAAAAAATGCAACACTTAGGAATCAGTCTAACAAAGGAAGAAAAAGATCTCTCCGTTGAAAACTACAATATGCTAAAAAAGAAGGTCAAAGAGGATAACAGAAAATGGTAAGACACTGCTTGGTTTTGGGTAGGAAAAACCAACATAGGGGAAATGGCCATACTCACAGAACTGTTACATAAATTTAATGCAATCCCAATGAAAATACCAATAGCACACCTCACAGAGATTGGAGAAAACAGCCCTAAAATTTATTTGGAACCACAAGAGACCTAGAATTGCAAAAACAATTCTAGGCAACAAAGGCAGGGCCAGGGGCATCACAGTCCCTGACTTGAAATCATACTACAAAGCTATTGTGATGAAACAGCATGTTTTACTGGGAGAAGGGAAAAACAGACCCAAGGATCAATGGAACACACTAAAAGATACAGGAACAATCCAAACACATTCAGCCACCTTATTTTTGACAAAGAGGCCAAACATCTTTACTGGAAGAAAGAGAGCTTCTTTAACAAATGATGCTGGAAAAACTGGCTTTCTGCTTGCTGAAGACTAAAACTAGACCTATGTCTTGCATCATGCACTAAACTAAAATAAAGATGGATCAAAGATTGCATATTAAAACAGAAACACTAAATCTTCTGGAAGAGAGACTAAATAGAACTCTTGATGACATAGGTGTAGGCAAAGACTTTATGAACAAAACCTTGATTGTATTGGAAATATCATTTTAAAAAATCAACAACTGGGCTCGCATATTAAAAAGTTTTTGCACAGCAAAAGAAATTAACAACAGAATGAAAATACAACCCATAAAGTAGGAAAAATTTTTTGCCAGCTGTTCCTCAGACAAAGGACTAATATCTAGAATATATTAAAAAACTCAAAAAAAAAATCATACTCTCCAAACTTAAAGACCCAAATGGGGGTCTTTGCAAAATGGGCATCTGAAGTGAATAGGTACCTCTCAGATGAGAAATAGAAATGGCAAATAAATATATGAAAAAATGCTCAACATCCATGATCATTAAGAGATACAAACTAAAACAACGCCATCTCATTCCAGAAAGAATGGTCATTATAAAAAATCAACTAATAACAGATGCTGGTGGGGCTTAGAGAGAAAGGAACCTTTTTTCACTTTTGGTGAGAGTGTAGACTTGTGCAACCACTGTGGAAATCAGTGTGGAGATTCTTCAAATAACTAAAACTATTTAGTTCAGCTATTGCCCTTCTTGGCATCACCCCAAAAGAATTAAAAACATCACACCACAGCGATAGGAGTACATCCATGTTTATAGCATCTTAGTGTATAATAGCAAAATTTTGGAAACAGCCCAAATGCTCAACATCTGAAGAATGGAAAAAGAAGATCTGAGGTTTTTTTATGCAGATATTTCATTGTATAAAATGTCTCTTTTATACAATAGAGAACTACTCAATCTCAAGGTAGGATAAAGTTGAGATATTTCCGGATAAATGGCTGTACCTTGAGACTACATTAAGTGAAATAAATTGAACACACATGTGTAAATATCATATTGTTTCTCTGCTTTGAGAACCCAAAAGTGTAAATAAGGACCAGAATGTATAAAAGATATTATGAAATACAAAGAAGATGTTCAAATGGGAAACTAGGAAGGGGAGAGGAGGAAAGGAAAGAAGACAGAAAAAATGAGAAAAGAAGGAAAAATTAGGGAAAAAGCCTTAATAAATAAGGAGGGGAAGAGGGACTGAAGGGGACGTAACAGGTCAGGAAAAAACATAAAAGAAGAATTGAGATAAGTCCTTTACAGGTACAAATTCCCTATGATGAATGTGATCATTATGTCTATCTAAAATATACTAATAAACATGGCCCACCCAGATTAAGAGCTAATTTTGCAAGTAACTGTTTGACCAAACAAATAGTTTATTAAGCACTGGGTTAATCCGAGAAATACAAAACAAAACACAAGAACACAGGGTAAGGGGTGAGGATGAGACTGATAAGGTAACAATGATACGTCCCTTCAGGAAGAAGATTCGTTCAAAACATGCTAACAGCTTTAACATTCCTTGTCTACCTCTGGACCTAGACTTCAAGGCACTGTGCAATGTAACCAGTTTATAATGAGCTCGCACCTTCGAAGCAAGCCACTACTCA